AAGTGACATCTGTGTCCCTGGGGCAGCACCTTAGGCACTGTCCCCTATGGGGATTTGTCTACACTGAGGAGAGTGTTGATCTTTAGTGCATTCTTGTGCGTTATGTAAAAATAGCCTAGAAAAAAAGCATAGTAATTGAAATACTGAAATGGATCACCTGGGCTATGCTGGTCCTGCTAGGGGAAGCCACCAACAAGACTGGTTTTGGTTTAACACCTGTAAGAAGTGTACAAGCTAAGCTGGAGTGAATGGTTAGTAATTAATCATCCAAGGACTCTGAGCTGTGAATACCACTAAAGTAAGTCATTTGCAATCATAATCATAGAGAAGCATTTATCCAAGTTTGCAAAGTGTTTTATATATGTTATCTCATGAATAATGAAATGACCAAAAAAAAAAAAAGTAGATAGGGACAGCAGAAAAGGGAACAAAACAGAGTCCTGAAAAGTCAGCCTCTTGAAAAACTTCTACATGTCACTTAAGTTATTGAGTTGGGAGCCCACTTTCTTTTCTTCTTGTCTTAAAAATGGAATTTTTTTTTAAACATCCCCTTCATTTCCAAATATATCCCTCCTCCCTCCCCAACACAGCAAACCTTCTCTTGTAATAAATAAATAAATAAATAAAGTAGGAAGAGGAGGAAAAGCAGTTTAACAAAACCCATGAACATTTTGAATGTGTCTGACAGCGTATGCCATATTCCATATCCATAATCCTCCACCTACACATTTAAAGGCCGGAGATACATTATCACAACTCTTCTTGAAGTATACTTTCAATGAGATTGTAGATACAGGCTGTCCTGAAAGTCTTAGTGCAATTTTAAGCCTTAATAAACTGCCCTAAAACTTTGGGGAAACCAATGGCCTTCCACATTCTAAGGCTTGTGAATAAGGCCTATAAATGACTGACTTGGCACCCTTTCTCTGTATTATTTCCCTTTCATTCTAATCCTGTAGTCATCCATGGTGATCACATGGAGTATTCCATTGACATGGAGAAACCCATTGACATATGGCCTTGCGGTACGTTAAGAAGGTACCTTGCTGTAATGGGTAGAGGACTGGCTTTGGAGCCAGGAAGACCTGGATTCAGGTCCTTCCTCAGACCCATCCTTAAATGGTGATCCTGTCAAGTCACTAGTATTCTGGATAACTTTCTAAGCTAAATTGCAGAAAAGGTGCTAACCTTCATTCGTAGAGGAAAATTCTAAAACCAATGAAATCACAGGTCTAATTCCCATGTCATAGAAAAGAAATGGTCTAGGATGGAAAGCCAGCCTCAGGAGTAGATGTTGGTTCAAGTCTCTGACACATCCTGGTTTAGGGACCCTGGTCAACTCTCTAAGACTAGAAAATGCAGAAAAGGCACCAACCTGCAGTCGTACAATGAATTCCCTATTATCAACGAAATCATAGGTTTGGTCTCTATCCCTAGCCTATGATTTCATCAGAATGGGTCTTTCCTATGCCTGTGCAAATAGCAAACCCACCATAATTCAGCAGATGGCCTTCCAGAGCCACCATGACCAATGCACATATTGCCCCATCATAGGCAAGCCAGAGACGAGCCTCTCCAGACTCAGCTATTCTGCTGTGTGGATGGCAGTTACAGTCAGGTCCATATTCTAAGGCCTTCCAGCTCAGTAGACCCTGCCAGAGCTTCTGTTCCATTAGTATGAGACCCCAGACTCACCCCCAGGGCAAGATGAGGGATCAGAGGAGAGCATCAGGAGAGATCTATGCAAAAGCTAAAGCTAAAGGTAGCTAGCTCTCCGGGGCCACCCCATCAGGACTCCTCAGTTCTCTGCTTCTAGGTATGAGTTCACCGTTAAGTCGAAGTTTATCTTCTTCCTAGAAGACCTGTATGCAAGCTCCAAGTTGAGACATGCTAGCTATGTGATGGTGGCCAAGTCTCAACCTCCCGATACTCTAGGTACTTTTTGAAGATCATAAGTTGCAAGAGAATGTGCTGACCTGAAGTGGTAGAGGGAGTTTTGTCACCTGGGAGACCTTTCTTTCAATGAAGTTGCAGATCTAATTCTTCTTATCCCCAAGCGGAATAACACAATCTCCAGGAAAGTGTGCCCCAAGCTCAGTGCATTACATTGGAGGGGTGTATATATATGTGTGTGTGTGTGTGTGTGTATATATATGTATACACACACACATATATATGTGTATATATGTGTATATACACACCTATATATACATACATATACACACACATAGACATATACTATGTATGTACTTATACATACCATACATATAAGCACACTTATACATAATATATGTGTACTTATATGTGTGTACCCACACATACACACATACATGAAAATTCCCAGTTATTCAAGAATATGAGACGCAATATAATACAGCAAAAAGAGAACTTGCTTGGGAGTCAGAGGACCTGAGTTCCAATCCCACCTCTGATGCTTCCTGTGTGACCTTAGATAATTTGAGCTCTCTGGACCTCAGTTTTCTCAATTGAAAAAAGGTAGGGACGGGTTGGATGAGATGGTCTGGGGGGTCCCTTCCAATTCTAAATATGATTTTTCAAGTTGATGGATTCTCTGCCACTTATTCTTCTTGTATTTTTCCCCTTTTGCTTAATTTTTTGTCATGTGAATATTTGTTAGCAGCTCTGCCTAACGAAGTCACACCACAGTGGATACAGCAGCAGGAACATTTACCAGCTGCCTTCTCCAGTACCCAGTCAGTGGGCTAGCGGCTATCTGCAAGGTTTCCTACAACGAGAATACTCTCTCCCAGCCCAGAGGTGTAAAAATCACCATTGCTTTATAGGTTCCAAAGGGAAAGATGAAGACGCTCCTGGTGTTCCTCAGTCTGGTCAGTTGTTCCATCGCTATGCCTGTAAGTAATGAAGTTTACAACTTCCTTTTCTTGGGTTCTATGTTGGGAAGAACTAGGGTCACCTTACGGACCCTTCATGATGGTGTTTTCCTACAAGTTACATGGGTGCTCTCTGTCTTCTAGATGCATATGCCTCGCATGGGTGGATTTGGCAGTAAGAGCGAAGAGGTATGTGCAGCCTCTCCTTCCAGGAGAGCTGAAATGGGTAGAAGGAATGGGAAGAGAGGAAGGAGTGAGTAGATCACTTTGGAGATGGGAGGAAGTATATAAGTATCTTGCCCTGCAAGTTCAAAAAGGAGGAAGCAAAGGAGATTATCAGGGAAGCTTGCTTTCCTAATGAAATTAGTCAATCAACGACAAGCATTTATTTAGTACTTACTGTTTACCAGACAGGCAGCTAGGTGGTGCTGTGGACAGAACTCTGAGCCTGGAGTCAGGAAGATTCATCTTCCTGAGTTCAAATACAGCCTCAGACACTTCCTTGCTGTGTGACCCTGGGCAAGTCACTTATCCTCTGTCAACATCAATTTCCTCAATTGATGATGATAACAGCACCTTCCTCACAGTAACACTGTGTTGTAACACTTGTAACAAGTAACACTTGTCTCAAAAGAGACAAGATTTGTAAAGCACTTGGCACAGTGAGTGCCTGGCATACAGTAAGTGCTTAATATATGCTCATTCCCTCCCTCTCCTTCCATTAACTTATGACAATTCTTCTAGAGGAGATTCTGATTCCAAGTGTTCCTGGAGCCTTTTGATTTCAGTTTTTTTAATCTTGCCATTTTTACAAAATGGTGATAGTCACTACCATGTCTTGAAATCAGGTCACTGTCCTTGTGAAATGTGGGAGTTGGGTGGCTAGTTAGATGGAAGGAAAGAGTTTATGTTGGGCCACTAACAGCTCTCTTTGCTCACAGATGATGCGATATGGACATTATAACTTCATGAACATACCACATGTAAGTTCCCCTTTGACGTATCTTTGACTATCTTCTGTTTGGGTTCAAATTCTTTTCTAGGAAAGCTCTTCCCTGCCTGTCTACTTATTTTAATAGTAACACAATAGATACAACAGGACCGAGTTACAACTAGGAATTCTTGCCCTTGGGGCAAATTTAATTGGGATCTGTGTGGAGTTCAATCCTTTCAAATTAGGTATAGGGAGGGTAGTCTTACCTAGGAACCTGCAGGAGGAGAGCCAAAGGGGAGGAAGAACAGGAGGATGCCAGGGAGGGAGAAGGGCAGGACCCCTGTCGCACCACGCAGAGCAGGGCAAGGAGAAGACCTAAAAGACTGCAGAAAATGACAAAAGACAAAAGAGATAAAATCTGCCCCTTGGGATGCTGGCACTTTGGGACCAAGCCCTGATTAACCCATCTTAGTTCCTGCTCTGTACAGGGCTCAGAAAAGATTTACTTCACCCCACTCCCCCAATGCCTTATTTTTCTTTTTCCTAACTTTCTACTCTTCTCTCTCATAATCCAAAAATATTTATTAAAGTAGGCACTACACAAAGAGAATAGAGGAACGTGGTCCTTGGCCAGAGAGGCATCCAACATGGCACAGTGAATAGAGATCTTGCCTCCAAGTCAGAAAGAGATGGATTCAGTTCCTGCTCCTGACACCTCATGGCATATGACCCTAGTCATGTCTTCCTAGCCAAGGAAACTGTAAGACTAGGAGGTGCAAGTCAGGCGGCAAGATGGGATCTAGGGGCCTATGATTTTTCAAGTTTATGGATTCTCTTGGTATTCAGTCACTATTCCTCTTTTCCCGTTGTTGGGTTTTGTTTTGGTTTGATTTTTTGGTCACTGCAGAAGTCATTTCATTACCAATGAAAACACAGATTTATTTAAGAGAAAGAACAATCCCTGTTTACCCAGACTCTTAATCTCATCCCCTTTATTACTTCTCTCCTCCTCTTTCTCCTTGACCTTCATTTTATAGACATCACCTTGTATAATATTAACTCAGCACAAATTCCTCATGCAATCCTAATTACACAGCCTGAAGCAAATGATATAGGCTGGCAGAACCACCAACCCAAACAGAAAATCTCTCATTCTTCTCCTTCCCTTCCTTTTTTTCTATTTTTTTCCTTGAGGACTGAAATGAAACTCTTATATGGCAGTCTGCCGCACAGACTTCTCAGCTGTTGGCCCAGCTGAAGGCATGAGGTTTCCTGGCAGCCTCTCTCCCTGTTCAGGTTTGGGGGGTTGACACCAGGGGATGGGGATTTGTTCTCTACACTGTCAGAGGTCACCAGATATCATGGTGATCTAGGTGTTGGGAATCTTCATCTTCAGCACTGCATCCCTCCCACTCCCCTCACCATTGTTGTCCCTCTTCCAGATGGCACACTTCAGTCCTCTGTATGGATACAATATACAACTTGGCCCGCAGTTTCCACAGCTCCAGATGCCAATGTGGCCCCAGCCACCACCAAACACATGGGTTCCCCAGAGTCCCATACCACCGAATATACCAAGACCACAGATGAAGGCAGGGAAAGGCCAGGAAACCCCAACAACCAGCCAGCCACTGCCAACAAAGCCACCTTCGAAGAAGCCCCCTGAGGGCCCCCCTCGGCCGAAAGAAGAGGATAATCATCCTCCAGTAAATGCTTGCTGCTTAGATCATCAATTGAATGTTATAGAGAGCCTCAGAGGGAATGAGGAAACTTCATTGCCCCCTGTTCATTTCAATACTCCTTCTAGACAAGGGTTATCAAACTATATAATGTGGATAGAACTAAATTATCACATCTTTAAATAATAATAATTACTGTTATCAATAGCATTTGTGTAGCACTGTGAGACTTGCAAAGTGCTTCATATATCATATCACTTGATTTTCACAAGAGCCCTGTGAGGTAGGTGGTATTACTGTCCCCATTTTACAGATGAGGAAATTAAAACTGAGAGACTTGAAGTCATTTGCCCAGCATCACACAGCTAGTTAGTGTCTGAGGCAGGATTTAAACTCAGATCTTCGTGGCTCCCAGGGCCAGAGTTCTATCCCCTGAGTGTTAAGCCATTCCCAACTCTGCATGACCCCATTTGAGCTTTCTTGGCAAAGATACTAGAGTGGTTTGCCATTTTCTTCTCCAGCTCATTTTATAGATGAGGAAACTCAGACAAATAGGGTTAAGTGACTTGTCCAGGGTCATACAGCTAGTAAGTGTCTGAGACCAGATTTGAACTTAGGAAAAATCTTCCTGACTCTAGGCCTGGCGTTCTATCCACTGCGTCACCTAGCCACCCACCCTAGAAGTGTCCTATACTTTCTACACTACTAAGGGTGGTGTTGAAGTCACTTATTTATTCAACAATTCAAACCATTCACCATTTAGAATCATGTTACTCAAGGGAACTGTGGTGTTTCAAAGATGCTGCTCTACCCTTTTTTTGTTTGTTTGTTTAATACAGAATCATGCAGGAATTTGTCTTGCTTGATGACACAGGTTTGCGAAAGAGGTTTCGTTCTTTCTCAGTGGGGAGAGGAGAAAGTAGGAGGGAGAGAAGGTGGATTTTCCTCGATCAAAAAAAATTAATTTTTAAAAAGGTCAAGTCACCTGCCATATTGGATACGGGCACTAGACTAAATGTTCAGAGACCCTGACTGCTGACTCTGCTATGTGACCCCAGCAAGTTGCTTTAATGACCCATGACTCAGTTTCCTCATTAGTAACATAAGAGAGTTGGCCAGCATGATCTCTATGTTTCCTCATAATTCTAAAATCCTACAACCTAAAGCCATTAGGTCTAGAATTGTGCTTTATGCAAGGCATGGAGGAGGACAACATGGTGTACCATTTGAGTTGGGTCATGACTGAAGGCAGGAAAGGGAACTAAAGAGATTGGGGGAAGGGGCTGAAATTATGATTTAGGTAGAGTATGGGATTCCCTAGTGGTAGTATTGCACAGTGAATAGAGACCTTTAAGTCAGGAAGGCCAGAATTCAAATCCTGCCTCTGACACATACTGACTGTGAGTTGGGCAAGTTGCTTACCTCCCAGTACCCTGGGAAACTCTCTAAGATGGATGAAAGGAAATAAGGATTTGTTAATTATTTATTAATTTTTATGACTAATTTATTATTATTTTATGCCAGGCACCATGCTAAGCACTTTACAAATATTGTTTCCCTTGATCCTAACAACAATGCTGCGAGGTAGGTGCTATTATAATCCCCATTTTACAAATGAGGAAACTGAGGGAGACCCAGAGTCACACAGCTAGCAAATGTCTGAGGTTACATTTGTCTGAGGTTACATAGATAGATAGATAGATAGATAGATAGATAGATAGATAGATAGATAGATAGACAGATAGATAGATAGAAAGATAAACAGGATAGAGACAGATAGATAGATAGACAGACAAATAGGAAAGAGACAGACAGACAGATAGCTAGATAGGATAAATAGATAAAGACAAACCGAAAATAAATAAATAATGATGGTTGATAAAGAAAAATAGTTTAGTGAAAAGGTACATGAATAGATGATAGCTAGATGGATGAATAAATAGATAAATAAGTAAACAAATAGAAGATAAAGATTGATGACAGATGAATAAAAAAGTAAATAAATAAAGATAACAGATGACAGGTAAAGAAATAGATAAAAAAGTAAATGAATAGATGATAGGTAGAGAGATAAATAAACAAAAAGAAATCAGTAAATGAACAGAAGATAGATGAATGAACAAATAAATAAATAGATAAGTAAATTAATAAATAAATGAACAAATCAATAAATAAGTAAACGAATAGAAGATAGATGTAGACTCATTCATGTTATTTTTCATTGGCCATTTTAACCCTTTTATTTCTCCCAACTCTTTCTCCAGCAATATCCGCCATATGGTAATGGGATGTTTCCTTTCCCCCAGCCACCATGGCTGTTTCCACAGGTAAGTCCCATTTTTAAGCCCTTATTAAGGAAGATTAGCATTTCGCCTTTTAAGTTAATAAGAGCTTCTCTGACAGTTCATGCACCATAATAAAAACATGACTTTCTTAGGATAGTCAGCAATTTAGCCACATATCACCAGTCAAGTCAGATACCTGGCACCATGTAGGTTAAGAAAACAAAAGGGCTGGTTTCCTAAACTTTCAGCCAATCGAACTGACATCGTGTCAAAGCAGTGAGATGGAGGAGGAAGAGCCCAGCCTTGGAGTCAGGAGAAAACTGAGCTCTGATCCAGGCTCTAGTCCTTAGTGTGTGACTTTTGGCAAGTCATTGTTCCCGGCTGAGCTTCACTTTCCCCATCTGTAAAATGGGGCTAATGATTCTCACACTATCTAGCTCACTGGGTTGTAAGTATTTTGTAAACCCCAAAGCACCAGGTAAATGGGAGTTACTGTCAAGTAGACACGGCATAAATTTTACCATGGGTAGGGATAAGATTCAATGAACAAACAAATGAGCGTTTATGTGCAAAGCCGTGGGAATACAAACAGAAAAGCAGCTCACATCTGATGGAGGGAAACAACACTCCGAGATGAGGGAATTCCCTCTTCCAATGCAAGTCATCACCTCCTCTGAAATTTGCAATCTTAAGAGAGGTGCCTAGAACACTGAAAGTCAGTCAGTCAGTCAGCAAGCACATTAAGCTCTCACTGTGTACCAGGTACCAAGCTAAGTATTAGGAACATAAAAAAGTCCAAAAAAAAACACCCCAAAACTGTAATGGGGGAGAAAATATGCAAATAACTAGTTATGTACAAAATATATACAAAGTAGATAGTAACTGAGAGAGGAGGGAAAGGATTCTGGACATAGTGGACAGCAGAGAAACCAAATCCAGTTGAGAAAGCTGCCCAGCAGAGACAACATTGGGTAGGGGTTGGGCAGTGGGGTAGGAGAAGTAGCGCGAAGACACACAAAGACTAGAAGGCTCATCGGGGCCCTACAGAGCTGCATCTATGAGCTATCTTGGCTACATGTGTTGGTGAGGAGAGGATTCTGGGCATGGGGGGAACAGCCTGTGTCAGACTGGGAGATAGGACACGGAATGCTGTGTGTAAAGAAAGAAAAGGAGGCCAGTGTGGCTGGGTGGAGGTTGTGTGGAGGGAGGAATAGGCTGAAAGACTTGAAAGATAGGGATGTGACAGGTTGTGAAGCATTTTCAGTTCCAAACAGAAGCTTGATTTTGGTTCGATAGAATCATTAGAGCTGTCCAGATGGAACTGGCTGCCTCAAAAGGCTGTGAATTCTCTAACAAGGAGGGATGGATGATCCATCATTGGAGATAGTGTAGAAGGTCCTTGCTCGCACGTGGGTTTGAGTAGATGGAGCCCAAGGTTCCTTGGAAGTCTAAGATTTTATTATTCTATGTGCATTAACCCCATGACCCCATAGATAAATTTTAGATAAATATACCATAGGTCAACATATAAATATATGTATAAGTATATAATATATTAGAAATATATGAGAATATAGAATCATATACTAAGAAGAAATGTTAAAATTTTTAGTTTAATTAAAATTTAAATATATATTTAATATATCAAAATATAAGAATTATATATTGGAAATATAAAGCTACATAAATATATAAGAATATAAAATTATATATTAGAAATATAATATATTAGAATATAGAATTATTAGAAATATAACACATTAGAATACAGACAGATATGAGAAATACATATGTTTAGAATATAAGAATTATATTTAGAAATGTGTATATAGAATATATTAGAATGTAGAATTATATATTAGAAATATATTAAAATACAGGCTTATATAAGAAATACAGAAATATATAATGTAGATTAGACTATAGAATTATATAATAAAAATATATTAGAATAACTATGTTAGAAATACACAATATATTAGAATATAGAATTATATATTAGACATATACAAATATATTTCTAAATACATATTAGAAACATGTTAGAATATAGAATGATACATTTGACTGTAAATATATAAATAACTCATCATAAAGCTATTTTACAAAAATAATGTTAAATTATGTTCCCAATGACCTTCAGTTTGAAAATGTTTCAATTAAAATACAAAAAAATTTGATTCCTCTCATTCTAATTTGGTTTTATATCATTGGAATTTTTAAACTATGCCTTGAAACTAGGAGAGTCAGTAAATGTGACAAAGGAAACTTGTCGGCCGCTTGTCAAAAAATGATTCAGTTAGGGTTAGATGAATGTGACTTTGTTGTAAACCTTGGCACTGGTTTTTCTCACTACAGATGTATAATCCAGGAGGCTTCCCATTGCCACCAAACCACCCATTTCATGGAGTAAGAATTTATTCAGTTTTTCTTCTTTCAAAGTGTTTGTTGTACTGAATTAAGTATATACTAAAACCACGGAGAGGCAATCCCTTTCAGGCAAAGTATTATAAGCATGGCACTGGAATGATTCACTCTTATCTAGGTAGAACACCCCAGAGAACTATGGGAAATGGCAGTTCCACATCAGGTTTCCCCCATGTTGTGTTCCCAGAAAGGAAACACCATTGCAGTCTGATTAGGGATATTTGTCTTGGCCCAAGGAAACTGCCATGGTGATGACCCAGGATCGGTCTGCTGGGCAATTATACACAAGTCACTCACTTGAGCACCATATCTCCCACAACTGGGGTCACCCTAGATGTGAAGGGATCCTCTACAAATAACAGAGCCTTTTCATCTCCATCATTAGGTCCTCTCCTACAGGGTGTGTGTGTGTGTGTGTGTGTGTGTGTGTGTGTGTGTATGTGTGTGTGTGTGTGTGTGTGTGTGCGCGCGCGCATGTGCATGTGTGAGCATGCATAGGTGGCTGTGTGCGTATATGTGTTTATGTATGGAGAGGATGGTTGTGGGAAGAAGGTACCCCAAAAGTCATCTCCATATCAGAGGATGGAGATCTGACATCTTTGTATTTATCAGTAAAATGAGACTCCGCCGCTGATTCTGATTCTTTTCAGGGATTCAGATGATACCAGGCAGAGCTCAAGAGTATTATGTTCATGACACACAGAAACTTGTTGCACCTAGACAGGCAACTGACAATAAACTGAGTCAATGTTCATATTGTTAGAGGCATCTAGTTGGCACAGTGGATACAGCACCAAACCAGGAGTCAGGAAGACTAGAACTGAAATCTTGCCTCAGACACTTCATATGTGACCCTGGGCAAGTCACTTAATCTATGTCAGTCTCAGTTTTCCTCATCTGTAAAATGAGGATAATAATAACACCAATTTCACAGGGTGGTTGTGAGGACCAAATGGAATAATATGCACGTGTGAATGTTTTGTAAGCCTTAGAATTATCATCATCATTATTATTATTATAATTATTATTATTATTCTCCACTTTATGGATGGGGAAACTGAGGCCCAGAGAGGTAATGACTTGCTACTGACTCCAAGTAGTATGTTCCTTCTTCTATATCATTCTGTCTCACTTTAAGAAGTGGAAGTTGCTATTGAAATAATGTCACGTTTATAACATGACTTAAGAGTCAACAAAACAGTTAACCTGCATTTTCTCATTTGATCCTCACAATACCCTGTGAGGTAGGTAATTTTAATTCCATTTACTCAGCATTTACTAAGGCAAGGCCCAAAAGCAATATGCCCCAGTGGATGGACTTGGAGTAAGGAACATTTAAATTTAAATCCCACTGCTGCCACATATGTACTGTGTGATCCTGGGGAAATCACTTAACTTCCCAGTGCTCTAAAACCATAAGTGGCAATGTAGATGCCAATCTACGTTGCTAGGGGGAGTTTTTGTCATCTGAAGTTCCCTACACCACAGGCCCAGCCCCCATCCCTACAGATGATGAGTACGGTCATGGAAGAAGGGCCAATGAGGCCAGTCCTCATCAGCCAAAGACTTTGTGCCTAGCCAATCAGGATTGGGCTTTTGGGCCAGTGCCTGATTGCACTATCATTGTGATTGTTGGACGGTGTCAGATAAGATAGACTCGGGTAATCCAGGAACATGAGAGTTAATGATGCCTGATGGGAATGCTCACCTCTAAGTCCACTGCTTGGGGCTTTCACAGAGACATAGTGGTCAGGGCCAGGACTGTAGTAAGGGTTCTTTTTGGTTTTCATTGAGTTTCTCTTAGTTGACTTGACCATGTTTTCCCCCTTTCAGCAAGTGCCTCCGGGGTATGGACGTCCACCAGTCAGCAATGAGGAAGGTGGGGTAAGTGGAATTCAAATCATAGACCCGCACTAGAAATCACCCTTTATCAGCGTTCTCCTTCTGTTCGGGTATCCTGCAAAGAAAGCCACTGAATCCACCCAAGAAGCGTAGCCCTTTGTGCCCAGGGCTTAAAGGAAATTAGACAGCGAGAGAAGAGAAAACCGAGCAAGGCAGCCAAAAACAACTTCACGTAATCTGTCTCTTCATTTCATTCTCTGTGAGAGAACGTTAAGAGTGTCCGAAATCTGTTTTCTTAGTCTACTAACGCTGGAAACAGGAAAAGGAACCCAGGATAACTTGGAATCATAGTTTTCAAAACTAGAAGCACCACTGAGGTCAACTCATCCACCCTCCCCATTTTACAAATGAGGAAACTGAGGCCTCGGAAGGTTACATAACTTATCAAAGGTTACACATTTAATTAATGACAGAGTGAAAATTGGAATACAGGTCTTCTGAGCATAGTCGAATGCTAGTGTTACGGACTAATGGTCTGATGTCTTGATTTTATGGGACAAGAGACCCATCGTTGTTATGATTAAAATGTGAATTACTATAGCTGGGTCTGCTGGGGCACGAGCTCTATGGACTGGTCATCTAAGCCATCCGAAGGGATCACTTTCTACATTACCCTATCTGCCTGATTTACCCCCTTGAAATATTTGGTTCTGTTGGATCTGTGAGAATGGTACTTCCAAGGGTGTCAGTCATTGAAGCCTGTGCCAACTCCTAGCAAAGATGGACCCTGGGCCAAGCACTGCAAAATCACTCCTGGGAACAGAAGCAATACAGAAAGCACCTCAGATTGACTTTTTTAGGACAAAGACATGGGAAGGAGGCTGTGGGAGGGTGAAGGGGAGGAGAGACCTCAGGGCACAGGACCATACATCTAAGTAAGAAGGTACCTTAAAGGCCAGCTAGCCCAACCCCTTTCATTTTACAGCTTAGAAATGTATACTTGAATACATGTTTGGAACAGACATTTTGTTTTTCTTTCCTTCTCAATGGGGTTAGGGAGAAGGTAGGAACAAGAGAAGATGGATTTCCATTGATTGGAAAATATAAAAATTTAATCAAAAAAAGTAAATGAATTTATAGAAATCTATAGTTGAGAAAAATGGTGACCAAGAAAGATCTGTCAAAGATGTAAAGCCATATAAGGTGAAGAGACCTCAGCACACCACCTTATGGAGGAGGGAGGAACCCAAATTCCTGTGGTCCACAGAGATCCCAGGTCAGATTGAGTTCACTGCCAAGGAGTCTTACTGCAGGCACAGGAGTAAGACAGGGCCAGGTGAGGGAAAAGCTCACCTGTTATTCAGCTACTGGGTTAAAGGAAGAATGCCATCTGGTAGCTTCCTATTTTAATTAATTATTCTTGCCAACTAAATGCTAATGTCAGGAGTTTTTTTCCTATCTGATGAAGAACAAGTGGTATTTGAGCCTCCTAAATTTTGTCACCCTGACTGAAGGCCTGGTTGCCCCCATGGTTGTTATGGTTCTACCTGCAGTCCATTGTAGCATAGATATAGATGAATGATGATGAAGATGATGATGGATGGATAGATAAGGGATAAAGAGATAGATATGTGGGCGGACAGATGGGTGGATGGATGGATAGACAGGTGATAGGTACATGAATGGGCAGATAGATGAATGGATAGATTGATGATGAATGAATAGGTGCTGGATATAGAAAAATAGATGGATAGATGGATGGATGGATAGATAGATACTTGGATGGATGCATAAACGTGTAATAGATACATGGATGGATAGGTAGATCAATGATGAATAGATAGATGGATAGGTGATAGATAAGTGAATGGATAGACAGATGATAGAAGGATGGACAGATAGATAAACAGATAGACAGATTATAGATACACGGATGAATAGATTAATAGATACCTGGATGGATGGATAGACAGATGATAGATGGATAAGAGAGAGACAAAGAGAGAGAAAGAGAGAGAGAAAGAAAGAGAGAGAGAGGAGATGGCAGGCATGACATCTGTGGTCTCAGAAAGCCTGGCTGGGCTCCAGCGCCAGCCGTACTAACCATCAGCTCTGTGGGAAACCACTTCATTTCTCTGAGCTTCAGTTTCCTCATATCTAGAACTCGTATAATGACACACACTCTACCTCTATCACAGGGCTTTAGAGTTTCTAAAGCACCATGTCATTGTGAACTGTTTATCACAGCTGTGTTTAACCAAGAATACTGCATTCAGAGCAGTGGTAGGAAGAACCTAACAGAAATAGCAAGGTGGTGCAATGGACAAAACACTAAGCCTGGAGCCAGGAAGGCCTCAGTTCAAATCCAGTCTCCGACACTTATCTAGCAGTGTGACCCCAGATAAGTCACTTAGCTGCTGCTTGCCTTAGTTTCCCCAACTGTAAAATGGGAATAAAAACAGCAACTACCTCACAGGTTTGCTGTGAGGATCAAATGAAATATTTGTAAAGTGCCTGGCTCATAGGAGGTGCTATGTAAATACTAGCTATTATTTAATTTTTATTATGATTACTGTTGTTGTCGCTGTTCTCATAGTAGAAGAATCTCAGGGTATATTTGGACCAGATTCAGAAATCTATAGTACATCCTTTGTTCCAACCTGTCATTTTCTCTGTGACCTTAAATATGGCACCTCACTTGTCTGTCTATCATTTTTTTCTATCTATAAAATGAGAATAATTCTCTCCCTCCCCAAAAAGTTCCTATAGTAATAAGTATGATTGAGGCTCAGCCTTCTGGCTAAGCTCAAACATGCGTGTAAACAAGGAGACCAAATTTCTAGTTCTGGCTATTTCTGTTACTATGGATATGGGGAAGTCCTCTGAGCATTAGTCTAGCCCCATCTGTTGGACTAGATGAACTCCAAGATCCTTCTATATTCTGAGATTCTGTGGATTTATGATCCTATTCCCTGCTGAAAGCACCAAGTGTAACATTACCACTAAACAGTAATACTCTCCGGGGCAGCTAGATGACATAGTGGATAGAGCTCTGGCCTTGGAGTCAAGGTATCTGAGTTCAAATCTGGCCTCAGACACTTGACACTTACTAGCTGTATGACCCTGGCCAAGTCACTTAACTCTGATTGCCTCACCAAAAAGCAAAAAAAAAAAAAAAAAGTACTTTATAGATTTAGGGGCAGCTACGTGGCACAGTGGATAGAGCACCGGCCCTGGATTCAGGAAGACCTGAGTTCAAATCCGGCCTCAGACACATAACACTTACTAGCTGTGTGACGCTGGGCAAGTCACTTAATCCCCACTGACCAATGGAAAAAAAAAAGTAAAAAAAAACAAAAAACAAAAAAAAAAGCCTCTGACCAAACATACGGCAGTCTTAAACAGAGTGGGCAGCTGCCTACATGATGTGATTGTAAGGACTCAGGAAGGTTCCTGGTTTACAAGAATACTTCCCCCAACAATGTTCACCAATGCTTAGAATTCCTCCAATAGGAGACAATTAGAAGTAAGATTTAAAAAGCAAATGCCCTCAGAAAAGGTAACAATTGAGAAATTGATGCTGAGGTGTAAGTTAGTAGTATTGACTCCTCTCCCGACTGTAGGTTTGCCAGGGGTGTAGGAATTGGGACCTGAAAGATATGAGAAGATAGGGAGAGAGGACATACAAAAGGTAGCCTGAGGATGTTAAGACAAATTCTGCCTACTTCACGATTCTGCTTGAGACTGGCCTTAACATGGCTCATGGCCCATAGAGGAGGATGCTTTAAGCAATCCAAATGATTTTGGCCAACTGGCTTTTTCTGAATGCCTATCCAATTTGGAATTTTATGGGGGATTTTGGTGCAGATCTGTGATTTCATGGTTACTACATAGTTACCAAATACCATTACTTCACTGACATAAGGGGCTTGGAAGTGAGGAAATTCCTTCTCTTGATATAGGTCAACACTCATCTGCAGCTCACAGTCTTAGAGAGTTGCCTAGAACACAGACAGGTTAAGTGATTTGCCCAGGGTCACATAGTCAGTACATGTCACAGACAAAACTTGAACCCAGGTTTTTCTGGCTTTGGGGATGGCTCTTTGGGCACTACGCCATGATACCTAGATATTTAATATGAGAAAAAAAAGATTATTCTTGAGAGTAGAAGTCAAAGCTAACGTGATACTACATAAATTCAGAGAATACATGGCTGATGGGACTCCCTCTTCATATTAAGAATTTCCAAAGAAACATTGTTGAGCAACAAAGAGAAATTCCTGATTTACTTCTTTCTCCCTACAGAATCCTTATTTTGGCTATTTTGGATATCACGGATTTGGAGGGCGACACCCGTATTATTCAGAAGAGATGTATGAACAAGATTATGAACAGCCCAAAGAGGAGGATCCACCCAAAGTGGAGAGCACCACCTCAGCCCCTCCCCCAAACACCACAGCCCTTGAGAACAATTCAACTCAACCAACTGTACCTAGCCCAGGAGGCAGTCAAGGTGGAAATGAGACCAGTCCAACAGGGAATGATGCTCAAGCTCAGAACCCTGGGAACAACCAAGGAGTACATCCTGGGGTTCACTCAACTCCTTCTGTTAATATCTCAATTCATGATGTACTAGGAAGCCAGATACCCCAGGTCCCAAGTCAGTCAAATATTTTTGAAAACTCTCCAGACCCTAATTTTGGAGGCTTTCCTGTGGGCAGACAATGGATCCAAACAGGACTCCCTTCAGGACCTAGGATGATGATCCCGTTTTATGGAAATTATCCCGATCAAAGGACCTACCAATGGCATAATTTGGCCTATGTAAGCAAACAAATAGCTGACCCAGGAAACACAGCTTACCAAAAAGTTTATCCTTACATTTCTAAGAGCAATTTTCCCAATTATGTATCAAATCTAGTAATTAACAGGCAAAAACCCCAGAGTCCAACCAAACAGCCTGAAGAAACAAATAGTGGGTTAACAGATCCCAAACATGTCACTGCCCATAGAGATGAGCAGACTCAAAACCCAAAAGAGAATCCAACAACCCAGACAGAAAGGAAAACCTTTCCTACAAGGGTCCCAATCGGCACCTGGAGAAACTCACAAGGTTATGAGACTAACAAGTCAAATTATAAATTACCTCCTCCAGAGGGCAACCCTCCAGTACCAAGTGTCAATTCAGTTGACCAACATGAAGATTCTTATTATCCAAGAATAAATTCCAAGAAATTCCCAGCTAATATACAAACATCAAATTTTCCCAAGGGAATGGCTTCAGAACCAAGAAAAGATTCATCTGATACTGAAATTAACCCACCAGAAATGAAACCTGGAACCCACCACCCTACATATACTGAGGAAGTACCCTATCCTTCAAGAGAATCCTTTTCTCCTGGAAGCAACACATGGAACCCCCAACAAGGATCTCCAATTTTTGAGGATGAAACTATGAGGCAGGAAGGTTCTTTACTTTATCCAGCCCTTGGAGTAAGAGGAAATGTCGCTTACCCTGAATATACTTCCTATGATCCCCAAAGGAACTCTCCTTATGCTAAAGGTAATACATGGGATGAACGAGATGACTTTCCTGGTACTTTCAGGCCAGCAGGCCAACCAGGAAACCCATCATACACTCTGAATATTCCTTCAGGTCAGAGACATCCATCAACTTACAATGAAGAGGATCCAATTGACCCAGCAGGGGATGAGATTTATCAGGGACCTAAAGATTGGGGGAAGGAATCCAACTTCAAAGAAAGTCAAGTTAGGTACCGCCAAAAATACCTGCATGCCCCAAGTCATCCATCTGGAACAAAGGGATACCTCCAGCATTCCACAAATAACTTACCAAGACAAAGAGGTTCTATTTATGGTGAACATCATCCCTGGCACCCAGAAGAGCGGGTTCCCTCTTACAAGATGGCTCCTCCTCTAACACCGTCGGGAGAAAAAAGTGGGTATTATTATCCTTCTAATGCCTTTGAAGAGGAAGAGAGTGTGCCATCTCCATCCTGGGGATCATGGGACCAAAAGATTTATGTCCCAGCAAGGAAAGGAAGGCTGCCATATTACAGTAGAAATTCCTGGGGTCAGGCCACCAGTTTACACAAATCCACAGCAAGTGTCCTGAGTCAAACAGACAATCGACCCCTTTCCAGCAACTTTCCAGGTGAGCTTAAAGGAAACCCAACATATCAAGAAGCAGAAAGCATCAACTATGACACCGAGCACATTAATAGGGTAAATTTACCCAAGAATGAACAGTTTACTGTCACGGAATCTGTGATTCAAAACAACCCAATAAATCAAGGGGAAGCAAGTTCATATCCCCCAGCCAGCCAAAGAAATCCCTGCTGTGCTGGTGACCCCATAGGGCTCAAAGATGGCAGCCCTCTTATACCACTGGACTACTCTCCACCCTTTGGTCTTGTTTCAGGGGAGCATGGAGAAAGAAATCCAGTGTATGCAGAGGGCAGTTACACTAAGCATGCTAGGCACATCATCTACCCCCCAGACATCCAATCCAACCAACAAAATAGTTCCGAGAAAAATCTACCTGAGGAAGGAGAGAATGCAGATCCCTTCAGGGACAATACAGTCACGTTGAAAAAAAGCTCACCATGTTCTAAAAGGAGTGAAGTAGGCCAGATGGAAAGTGTGGCTTTTTCTGAAGCTGACTCCCTCCAAGCAAACACACCATGCCGCAAAAGTATCTTTAGAGGAGATGGGAACAACGTCCTGGCAAAAATCTTTGGTGCTGACCAGTTCATTGAAAGAACCAATAACCTTATTCCTGAGGAACTCGAGGCTCCCGAAGAAAGGCCCAAGTCAGAAAATATCCAAAGTGAAGGGGGAGGAAGTGAGGGTCGCAGGAAACAGAAAGGAGTGCCTAGTATCCAACAGGTGCCATGCCTCCACTCCATGCCAGAAAAGCATCTCCCTTCCAGCACAGGTCTTCCGTTTGGCAAGAGAAGACCAGATCTATCGGACGGAGAGCCAGCACTGGTCTCTGCCCAGCCCAGCAGCACTCTGACTGGATTGGATGCCAGGGAACAGCTCGGTGATATGAATATCGACCCACTCATTGCCTCAGAGCTGCCTCTTTCCTTTCTGTCCCTTCCAAGAGAGATTCCAAGAAATGCAGAGCTTCAGGTGCCAGACTGCCTGCTGCTTCAGAGCTAGGGACCCTCCGACAGAAGATAAACGGCACCTTACAGCAGTGGTTCCCAAACTGATTTTGCATCGCTAAGACTCCTTCTGGATCAGAACATATCTGGTGACCAACACTCCCTCCATATCCCCCACATTTCCTAGTCGCAGCAGCCTTGATGGTGCTGGGGAAAATCCCTAGCCAGTCAGGCTACTTGCCGAAGCCCAGGGTGGTTATCCAGGGAAGGCTGGATCTTGTACTTAGGTGGCACAGCCAGCCATCAAGGCTTAGAGAGGCCCATCTTACCCATCCTGGGTACTCTTTGCTTGCTGATACTTCCCATGTCTCTGAAGATGCAACATTTTCAAGACAGCTGGCTTCTGCAACAGTTAGAAGCCTCAGGAACTTTCCGTTTGAGTGCAGAATTCTCTGCTCGGTCTAGCCTGATCTGTGTGCTTTTTACTTTTTTTTTTCTGATTTTGGTCTTTGTTGGAATTTTTCCTATTTCTCTCTAATTTAAGGTTCTCTTTGTGGCAGAAGAGGCAATGTGGCAATGGTGATTAGAGAGTTGACCTTGAAGCCAGGAAGACATGGGCTCACATCCTGGCCCTGGTTCATCCAGGCTCTGTGGCCCTAGGCAAGTTCTTAACTTCTCTGTGCTTTCTAGGCAATTCTCTAAGGCTTTAAGTTGCAGAGAAGGTGTTAGCCTCCCTTAGCAGAAGGACTTTCCTCACCCTGGAGTTCCCTATGCTAATGAAATCTTGGGTTCACTCCCTTGTGGAATGCTTTCTCCTCCCCCCATTCACCCCCTTTTTTCTCTCTTTATATGACATTTTCCTCCTCTGTCTCCTTTAATTTTTCTTTCTTTCTCCTGTTTCTAATTTTCCCCCCATCTTTCTTCCTTTGTAGCATGACTTTCTTAGTACTTTCTACTCTCATATTGACTTCATTTTCTCACCCCATGGGCTGCCCTTCTTTGATGGTCTTCTCTCTCTCTGTCTCTCTGTCTTTCTGTCTGTCTGTCTCTCTCTCTCTCTGCCTTCAATTTCATTCACTACATTCTTTCCCTTTCCCTTTACCACTCAGTTTGTCTCTCTCCACTATGACCCCATTATTCTTCTCCACTCATCCCGTTCCCAAGTGCACCACCTCTCCACATCTCACTGGTCTTTTTTTAAATCTCTTCCTCTCTCCCATTTTTCTACCTGCTCAATTGCTGCTAGACTAATAGTCACTAACTTGAAATAAACTTCACTATTGAGTACATCGCAGGAAAAAAGTCAGATGTAGACCCCTATTTTTTCTATCAGTTTTACTATCACCTCTTTAAAGTAGACCCTTCAAAAAAGTCATGGAGAAAGGTGGAAGAGAAATAGATTCATTTCGAAACTAGCAATTCTTTCTTACTATAGAGGAGATGAGCTGAGCAGCTCCAAAGAAATTCTCTGGAGGTGAGGCTTAGTTGGGAGAGGAAATGAAGGATTGAAGAGGCTGACACTCTGGTACTTGGATACCCAGAGACCAAGGTCATAATCTTCAGAGACGTCCTCTCTAGCCTACTCACTCACAGTCTTCAGGATTCTGGAGCACAGTTTGGGAAACACTGTGTGAGACAAACCAGATGACACTTTGTCTCTGTGAGGATCAGATTCTGATACTAGTAACATAAAGGATAGCCTCTCTTTGTGTAGAACAGTTATTCTCAGGCACACTGTCTTATTCTCCTGGCTATATAAAAGTTTAGTGTCCAGTAGACATTTCTATGTAATTTCACTTAGATGTTCTGGATTTTGAGATTTAATGGCACTTTGAACTATGGACAAGATCCTTCTTGCCTAAAAGTGCTATGAAACACGAATTACCAAAGAGCAAGTGTTATCTGAGTTAAAGAGTTGTTTTAATTTTAAACATGATCTCAAGAAAGCTAGTCATCACCAGAAAAAACAACTCACCTGCATAAATTTCTCTGGGCAAGCTCAGGCTATTGTGAGAGCATAATATTTGTAAGGCACTAGCCCAGTGCCTGTCATAGTAGGTGCTTAATAAATGCTTGTTCCTCTTACCCCTCTTGTAAGAGCATAATATTAGATTCATTATAGACTGGGAAATACCATTTTATCCTGGAAACATCAATGTTTCCACCTTTGCATTTGTACAGCACTATGTAACCTCTTTGGGGGTAGGGATTTTGTCTTGTACTTTTTATATACATATATAATGCCTTGCACATAGTAGGTGCTCAATAAAGATCAATTGGTTAATTGATTGATTGACAATCTTCTTTCAAATCATACGATATTCTTTAGGTAACAGCTGTTGTCTCCCCCATTAACTATAAGCTCACTGAGAACAGAGGCTGTTTTTTTTTAAAAACTTTCTTTGTATCCCCAGTGCTTAGCACTGTGCCTGATGCATAGTAGGTGCATAATAAATGCTTGTTGACTGTCTGACTGATGGACTGACTTCTAGCAAAGGTAGGAACCATGACAGGGCAGAGGGAACTTGACAAATTGCTTCATAAACCGTTTCTGTGGCAGTGTATCTCAGGATTCTATACCTCTGGAAGGAGATAAGATGGTGCAGGAAAAAGAGGATCAGACTTAGAGAGATCTAGGTTTGAATCCTGCCTCTGATATTAACTAGCCTTATTATCATAGGCTTGCCACTTCATTTTTCCAAGCCTCAGTTTGCTCTTCTATAAAATGGGAATAATACAAATATTGCATGCCTCAAGAGGCAAGACAAGTTAACTAGTATTTTTTAAGCACCTATTATATGCAGGAAACAAGATCATTCCTTAAGAAATTGGGTATAGAAATCTATCCTGCCCTACAGGAAAATAGAAGGGGAAGGGGATTAGAGAAGGGGGGGAGAGACAGAAGGGAGGGCAGATTAGGGGAAGAGGTATTCAGAATGCACGTCATCTTGGGGTGGGGGAGGAGTGAAATGGGGAGAAAATTTGGAACTCAAAATCTTGTGGAAGTGAATGCTAAAAACTAAAAAAAAAATTTTTTTAAATAAAAAAAGATCCTTCCTTAAGGTCAGAAAGGCTTGGGTTCAAGTTACCAAGGGCAAGAGTCACTGAAATTCTGCATTTTAGGTGATTTTCTAATATAAATGGCAGTGGAGGTGGTGATCTGCATTGATACAGGAAATTTTTTTTTCATCAGGAGTTCCCTATACCAGTGAAATCACATCCCAAACCAAAAAGGACCCACCTCCCAACATTGTTGAGAAGATCAATGAAACACTAAATGTAGTATACTATGGAAATGCCCAGAATTATTCTCATCATCATCATTCTTCTTCTGAAATACCAGCATCCCTCCCCAGGGCCAGGCCTAAGCAAAACTGAACAAATCAATGTTTGTCTTCAGGTCCATGGGAGCTGTGACCAATACGGAGCAAATGGGGCTTTGTCCAAGGTGCTGACCAGGGTAAGGGGTGGCATTTCTCAGGGGAGGGTGTGCCTCCTTCCCACAGTGGCAGCAGACCACAAGCCTTACTAGTCCTCCACTCCTCAAAGACCACAGTCATGGTGTTCCCCTCCTGGGCTACCTTCCCCCACAACTCCCTTAAGAAAGACCATCTCTGGCATGGGCCCCAACTCTCATCACCTACCATCAGGTTGTTCTCTCAACCATTGCTTCCCCCTTCCTCTGATGGAATTTGTCCCAAATGCCAGGACTGCTAGTCATGTTTTGGTGTCCACTACTCCCTTCTTTGGGCAATGCTCCCTGGCACCCAACGCTCTTACTGTTCCTTCCAGTCGTCCATGGCCATTTGCTTCAGTGTATACCCAAGTCAATGTCCCATGCACTAGATTTTTCTCCACCTCTTTGCCCCCATTAAAATGGGCCTGCTTCACGTCCTGGTGCTTGTTAGCAGCTGTACCAATTCTGAGGAACACTGACTCTTCTGGCCTCTTTGTATGTCCTTTGATGACCAAGAAGCTGTGTGAGCGGCTCAAGCCATAGGACACACACAACCCTCACAAATTAATCAAGTCTTGGGAGTAGCTTCCTTGCCTTTTTTTTTTTAATTTTTTTCAATCAGCAAAAATCTACCTTCTCTCTCTCCTTCCTCTTCCCTCCCCTCAAATTGAGGCATACAGAAAAACAAAACCCCTGATAGAAGCACGTATAATCAAGCAAATCAGATTTCCATGTTCCCAACCAAATTGGTCATATGTATTTGTGTGTGGTTGTGTAAGCATATGTGTATTATACATATGCATATGTGTATAAATACACATACATATGCACATAATCTATATGTATGTGCATGTGTCTTAATTTACACTGTGAGTACAAAATCTCTCACTCAGGAGGTGGGTAAGATGTTTCATTATCAGTTTTCTAGAATCATTGCTGGTCATTAGACTGATCATAGTTCCTAAGTCTTTCAAAGTTGTTTGAACTTACAATATTGTTGTCATCATATGCACTGTTCTCCTGGCTCAACTTGCCTCACTCTGCATCAGTTTGCATGTCTTCCCAGGTTCCTCAAGCTTTGCCTATCCCATTTGGAAGGATAAAGTCCTAAATCTTAACCATCTGGTCCATGTGGTGGGTGATGCCAAAGCTTCACAGTTCAAAGTGGGTCTCTTGCTGTAAAGGGTTGACATGGAAAATGAGCAAGGGCAGCACCAGGCCCATGGGGCAATCAAAACAAATGATGATACTTCCAACATAGTCACCAATTCTTATCATGGATCAAGGTCATCTGTAGTAAAATAGATAAGGAGTCATAAGCCTTTTGCATGCAGCCTATGTCCTAGTTATCTAAGTTCATACCATGACACTCCCCATACTCAGGAAATATTCAATATTCTTTGTCGCTCTCTGGGTGCCCTATTAGAGAGGTGTTATACTAAATCTTTTCCCCTTTAGATGCACCTGCTGAGGGTCTACCTACTTTTGCCAGAGGGGCTGAATAAGCCCGTGCCTTCATCCAGGGACTCAGGATTGCCATAAAGTCAACTAAGATCCCTTTTGTTCCAGGTAAATTAATAATTACCATAGTTATGCAGAGATGATTTCACTTCCCCTAAGTGATCATTAAGTGAATCATCCTCTCCCCTATCAATTCAGCCCATGGGCAGAAAGACCTGCCTCTTCCTTGTTTAGGGGAATCTTCTGATCATGTCATAGCAGCTCCCATGTCCAGATAGATCTTA